CTGGTTTGGTTCAGTGGATAGAGTGTCGGCCTGCAGACTAAAAGGTCTTGGTTCCGATTCCAGTCAAACTTTAATTGGGCCCAAATTCTCTTGGTTCCCAACTCACATCATTTTAATAATCTCTATTCTGATCAAACATTTAAAAAATTTACTTAAATTTTAAAACACATACTATAGAATTTTTTTCTTCTTAGCATTAGGTACCTTACTGAGACTTGAAGAGTTAAAATTCTTGAGTCATGATGGCTCTGCATGGTTAGGTAGCAGCTTACACAATGCAGTTGGTGTAATAGTGATCAGAATCTTGAGAAGCTAAACCTCCTTCAAATCACAATGACATATAATGTGGACGTTTAAAAAAAATAGCCTGCAATTATTTTTTCCTGTATTTTATTATTACATGTACTGACCACATTCCCCCCTCCCCAGTTAAATCTTAGAGATAAACATCTTTCCTTTTCAGAAAGCAAAGATAGGTTAGGAACTTTATCTGAATGTTTTACATTGAGCAAATTTCTTTGAACTCATTTAAACAAGTAGAAATTTATTTTTTAAGAGAGATGCTTGACATAGAAAGTCTTTGCATACCATCAATTTATTGACTTCACTGTATAATACTTAGATTCAAAGATGTTGGAAGATTTCCTTTAATTTATTCATTGAATGGCTTTAAAGTAAATTTAATCCTCAGAAATATTTAGGGCCTTTATTTGGAATGAAGAGAATTGATTCAGTGAGATTTGTTTGTGTCCAAACATATCTGAACTGTTTACTTTCACATATACCATCTAATGAAGTATTTAGAGTAACTTTTAATTTTTCAGAGACAGCTAATCTTTTTTTAAAAAAAATTATCTTTATTGTTGAAAGTATTACAGATGTCCCCCCGCCCCCGCATTGATCTCCTCTTCCCTACTCCCACCCCCTTCCTCGGCCTTCACTGCACTATTGTATGTGCCCATGGGTTATGCATCTATGCATATAAATTCTTTGGTTAATGTCTTTCTGTCCCCCCTACTCCTTTCCCTCTGAGATTTGTCAGCACACACTTCCCTCTGAGATTTGTCAGTCTGTTCTATGCTTCCACAGAGACAACCAATCTTGAATAATTTATTCACCTATGGAGTCAGGCAAGCATTAAACCACTTCCCAGGATATTGATGAAAATCTGTTTTCTTCTAAATTTCAACATATATTATAACCCAAAATTGAATTCAACATTGGAATAAATGATTAGACTACTTTGTACTACAGATAATTATTTAGTTAAAAAGCCTATTGTTGAGAAGGAGACATATAAAATAAATTTTTCTTTGAAATTTTAATGACTTAACTTTTAGGATGCTTGGTGATTTCTATCCCTTGTCTCAGTAACCTTTTCTCTAGATATGCTAGGTTGACTGAACATGCCTAATGCATTGTTTGTGACAGTCGACTTCAATATAATTGGATGCAGTGTTACAGTGTTGATAAATTCTTTATACTGAAGAATTTATCAGTCATCACTGCATAGTGATGGGTTTTCTGTGTCTGTTTTGACTCAGTCTATTTGTAGAGAGAGGGCCAACTTAAATAGAGTTATAACTTTGTATTTTATTAGTCATATTCTACAGTTGAAGAAAAACAAAAAACAAATCAAGATGTAGTCATTAGTTCGTGACAACATACCTGGAATTATATTCTGACATTTCCTTGAGGCCCTTTTTTTGATGTGTAATTTTTTTAGTTTTTATTTCTCTTAATTTTTTTAGGTCTTTCTTATGTAAAGCTAATCTGATATACACTTAGGGTTGTTTCCTTATCTAACATGGGGATCTCTGTTTTTTCAGGGTTATTCTTAGCATTCAATTGATGTGAGAGTCTTAGTATTCTCTAGTAAGGATTAGGAGAAAAATAATTTGGAACGTTTGCCAAGGCTCTGGATTACCTGGCTTTGGACACCTACCTCTATGTGGTATATGCAACACTGGGGCTGCTTTTCAGGGGCTATGTGTGCTTAACTTAAACTGAATTATTGCCATGAAAATGGTTCTGACTAGTGATTCTAGGCATAGGCTTCATTATGAAAGTGATCTCAGCATGTGTGTTAGATGTATGACCTTGAGCAAGGTGATTGCTTAATTTTTTAAGCCTCTGTCTCCTCATCTATAAAATGAGGATAACAGTAATAATAAAACAGTATTTGCCTTATAGAGATGTTATAAGAAAAAAATGATCTACCAACATGCTTTAGGTGATTTTAAAAAAAGTACTTCTGTTATTCAAGAAAAAAATGATCTACCAACATGCTTTAGGTGATTTAAAAAAAAGTACTTTTGTTATTATATTAGTTAACTAGGCAGAGGGGATAGTAGGAAGAAATGAAGATACCAGCTAAAATTTTTAAAAAATGTATCTTTATTATTGAAAGTATTACCAATGCTCCCCTTTTTTCCCATTGACCCCCTCTACTCCATACCCACCCCTTCCAGGCCTTCACCACATTATTTTCTGTGTCTATGGGCTATGTATGTATGCATATAAGTTTCCAGGTTAATTTTTTCCCCACTCACCCACCCACCCACCCCTGCCTTCCCTTTGAAATTTGTTAGTCTGTTCCATGCTTCTATGTGTCTGGATCTATTTTGTTCACTAGTTTATTTTGTTCATTAGAATCCACATTTGAGTGAAGATTAGCTAAAATTTTATTCATCCTTTACTGAGGAACCACTATTTCGGGGACTGGGTTAGGCAGTTGAATATACATTTATGAGACAAGGACATGGAGAAATATAGCTAAATAGTAACTGATGGGTAGTAGAATTAGAACTGATTTTTGTTTCTTCTTTATACTTTTCGGTAGTTACTACATCTTATATTGTAAATGTATGTTACTTTTCCAATCCTAAAATTTGCCTTAAAAATAATATAAAACAATGTTGCCCTTTGTAATTTTTTTCCTGTTAATACAGCTCTAGGAACCTTTGAATTGAGTTCTTAGGGAGATTTTGCAGGATGATAGTTTCCATTAGTACTGTAATAGGTCCAAGATGTTGGTTACCCTTAGGAAGATGGAAACACAGCTTAGGCTTGAGCCCAACTACATGAGTAACAAGCTGTGTAGTATTGAGAATGACACTTCATCTCTCTGAGTCTGTTTCCTGATCTCTAAAACAAAAGTGACAATGTCTCCTTTGCAAGGCTGTTGTAAAAGTTAAATCAAGCAAAAGTTCCTACATAGTGCATTTAACACAGTTTGACCCATAAAAGTATTCATATAATGGTGGCTATTACTATGTACTGAAAGATTGTTTAAGATCAACTTCTTTTACTGGTGAAGCAACTGAAACACACAGAAGGTCCATGACTTTTTAAAAATTCTTTATTGTTGAAAGTTTTACATATGTCTCCTTTCCCCTCCATTGATCTCTCCCTGCCCACTCCCAACCCCCCAGCTCATACCCCCGCCCACCTATTGTCTGTGTCAATTGGTCATGCTCTTATGCATGGATACAAGTCCTATGGTTTTTCTTTTACCACCCTCCCTCATCATTCCTCTGAGGTTTGACAGTCTGTTCGATGCTTCTATGTCTCTGAATCTATTTTTGTTCATCAGTTTATGTTTATTATATTCCACAAATGAGTGAGATCAAGTAATATTTATCTTTTTCCAACTGACTTATTTTGCATAACATAATGCTCTCCACCATCCATACGGCTTATTTCGCATAACATAATGCTCTCCAGGTCCATCCATACTGTTGCAAATGGTAAGAATTCCTTCTTTTTTTACAGCAGCATACTATTCCATTGTGTAGATGTACCACCGTTTTCTAATCCACTCATCTGCTGATAGGCACTTAGGCTGTTTCCAAATCTTAGCTATGGTGAATTGTGCTGCTATGAACATAGGGGTGCATATATCTTTTCTGATTGGTGTTTCTGATGTCTTGGGATGTATTCCTAGAAGTGGGATTACTGGGTCAAATGGGAGTTCCACTTTTAATTTTTTGAGGAAACTCCATACTGTTTTCCACAGTGACTGCTCCAGTCTGCATTCCCACCAGCAGTGCACGAGGGTTTCTTTTTCTCCACATCCTCACCAGCACTTGTCAGTTGATGGTAGCCATTCTGATAGGTGTGAGATGGTACCTCATTGTTGTTTTGATTTGCATCTCTCTGATGATTAGTGACTTTGAGCATGTTTTCATATGTCTCTTGGCCTTCTGTAAAAGTCCACTTTTGAAAAGTATCTATTTAGGTCATTTGCCCATTTTTGATTAGATTGTTTATCTTCCTTTTGTTAGGTTGTATGAGTTCCCTATAAATTTTGGAGATTAAGCCCTTATCAGATGTAACATTGGCAAATAGGTACATGACTTTTTTGATATCTTCCAAGTAGTAAATGATAGAGCCTAAACTAGAAATCAGGTTTATTAACATCAGTACTTTCTTTTCTAAGAGAAGGTATTCCTAAAATTTCTATCATTGAGTACAGTCTTCACAATTTTTCCATATCCATTATTTGCTTAATATTTTGCTTTATTTTCACTCTTTTCTGCTTACATAAAGTTGTTTAGAAACTGTATGTCATCATTCTAAATATAAATCTAGTGTCTCAGTGTCATAAACAAAGATAATCATAAAATAAATTCAATAATACAAAACAATTTTATTACATGTTAGGTAGATATTGTTATAAGCAAGTTAAATGCCAGAAAGATAATAGCTTGAGAGAGGAGACATTTTAAGAACTAGAGCACTTGGTGGCATTAAGGAATTGATGCTCTGGTAGTGAGAAATGAGAAAGTAGGAAGGTGTTAAGTTATGGTACATAACTGTAAGCCTGGCCATTTGCTCTTTGGGTTTCAGAATAGATCAGAATGGGTGATAAAAATGTACAGATTGGCCATAGAGTGAGTGCTTAACCAAAATAGTTCATCATTTTTGTACCAGAAAGGTCTGAAACCATCATCAGCTTCTCATCAAATTTTCTAGAAGGATCTGACTTATTTAAGAACCTGCCTAGTTTATTCTAAATGATTCTCCATCCATCCATCCCTCTTTCATGTCTCTCACTTTCTTAGATGTTTCATATCAGCGGTTGCTGTTACCCTTATGCTAATGCAGTGAACACGAGTTTTGTAGCAATGAGGCAATCCATTTTCAGTGACAGGTTGTAATGAACTGAGAGGGTTACACTAGCAAATGCACTTCTGGTAGGATAGATAAGAATGCAACATATACATCAGTCAAATAGCAAAAAAATGACTTGTGTATGCTGGTTAGGGATGTCAATAATGCGACCGCATGCAGAGCAGATGGCAAAAGACATGTTGGAAAGAAGCCTTCTCACCAGAGGTTAAGCCTCTAGCATTTTCCTCAGCAATATATGAGTAATTGCTCTCTGTCTCAGTTAAGGCTTTAGGAAGGTAATTAGTGAAGTACACACATGAGAACAGCACTATTTTCTCTAGAAATGAGAAAGAAATAAAGAAAATCATACTACTAAGAAACCAGTAGGGAAACCTCTATTCATTTTAAATATTTTTTTTCTAATCCTTTCACTTCAATTCTCTCCCTCATTTTTCCTTATTTATTTCTTTATATTTTTCTCTCTGACAGATCATCCTTTAGTTTTTCAAGTACCTTAGCTCTGGCTCCTCCTAATTTCATCTTACTCTTGTCTGAGAAAGACCGATGAAAGAGAAATTTCCAGTTTGGCAAAACAAAGGCTTCAAGAAATTGTAATCAAGGCTCATGACATATATGAAGTGGGTAGGATAGAGCAGGTCAACCCCAAGTTCTATATTACCAAGAATAAGGCTTTTCTGTGAAGCTTAGACGTGGCAGATATAAAATGAAGACAAAAAATCCTATTTAGTTGACATTTAAGGGATCTATCCTGAGATTTTTTTTCAAGGGTCTCTCAAATTATAAATATCAATGAAGTATAAAGTTTCTCACAGAATATGCAAGCAAAGATACTGAACTGTCTGTGTGCACTTCTTTTAGAGGCCTTGCATTATAAACTGATGCCAAGCTCTGTGAAAGTGAAAAGTTGGTTAACTGATGATATGAGGATGAGCAGTTTGATAGATATGCAGTGTGGGGGAGGGAAGCAAAAACACCATCGACATTTCTTAATGCATCGATTAAGCTACTCAACAATCTATAGTTTTATCTTTTACTTGTTGGTAATTTTTCCACTGGTTGGAACACTAACCAAAACATTGACATGAATATCTTTCTGCTTATTTCTCTATAATATAAATTATGGATTTTTTCACCTTATAGCTATGATCTCTACTGAGCAAGACCTTCTTTAATTTAACCCAGAATTCTATATTGAGCTATATTGAGTTTATAAGTTATCACTTTCTTAATCTTAAAATTTTATTAATAATATTATTCTTTTCTTTTCAGAATGACTTTTTCTCAAGGAAATAAGTGTGTGTGTGTGTGTGTGTGTGTGTGTGTGTGTGTGTGTGTGTCTATGTGTATGTGTGTGTGAGTTTCCAATAATATTCTGCATTACTGCTCTGTTGCTTCTTGTAAATTCTCCAAACCATACATGTTTGTGTCTTCAGGGTTTGGAAGATATTAGTGGCCAGATGAATCTTTTATAGCCTCTATTTACATGTGACATAATAGTATACTTGAAAAATCCTAGAGAATAAAGGTGTCTCCACATCATTAAGATGTTAGTTCTTTTTAAGATGACATAAATTTAATGCAGTCCCAATATGATTATTTGTGAAACTATACCTATTGTTAACAAAATTCATTTGAAAATTAACCTGCAAGAATGGCTAGGAAGACATTGAAAATCAAGAAATATAATTAAATGTATGTGGCACTGTTACATAAACACACCATTGGAATGCAAACTCCAGAAATAGAACCAACTTCATGTGAAAATGAACTGTCTGAAAAGGTATTGTATCAAATCACTGGTGCAAAGATTAGCTTTTAAAATAGATGGTGTTAAGATAAAACTTATCCATGGGTTTCAAAGCTAAGGAGAAAAGTTTGAGAAGGAGCAAGATATTTGCATTGTTTCAATCATTTCCTCACCTGTTGCTCTTGTTGCAGCTATACCATGCAGAAACTGAACAACACCCTGACTTGATGATCAAAATGAACAACACTTAGTACTAGCAACAATAAAAATATGTATTAATTAATAAAATAAAATATAATATAATACCCCCCCCAACAAAATTAACACCACCAAACTGATGGGCAACTGGTGCCTCCAGATATGGTACCTGGAGAATGACACACCAACACCTAGATAGTATTCAAAGGAGCAATGCTTAAATTACTTAGATGGAAATAGCAAGCAAAGCCTAACTAAGCAACCTTAAATAAAATTCCTATATTCTTCAAAAACATTCATGTCATAAAAGACAAAAGCTAAATAAATGTTCTGGATTTTAAAAGAATAAAGAGGCATGTAAATTGATTTGATATGTGGTCCTGGACTAGCTCCTGTACTGAAGGATCAGAACACTATTGGGTCAGTAGATAAAATTAGAGTAGGCGTGTATATATTACATGAAAGTCTTTTACCAATGCTAAATTTCCTGATTTTGATAATTATACTCTGATTATATAAGGTAATTTCTTTGTTTTTAAGAAGTCTGCATTAAGTATGAAGGGTGAAAAGGGGCGCTCTGCATGGACCACTTTCACATGGTTTAGGAAAAGAAAATTATACACATATCTTTATTTATACTTTTATCTATCTATTATCCATCTATCTATCTATCATCTAGAATGATAAATAAAATGTGGCAAATATGAAAATGTTGTGAATCTGGATAAAAGATAAACAAGAACTCTTTTTACTATGTTTATTTGTAAAGATATACCAGGGTATGCACTTTATATTCATTGCAGCAATATTCAGTGTTGTCAATTTTATGTAAGTTTGGAATTATTTCAAAACAAAATGTTAAAACACACATATTCAATTAAAAAAAGTTTATTTCATTGTTTTACTATTATACTGTATGCAAGATAGGAGATAAGAAGATAAAGGGAGAAAAACCTCTGTCCTCTGTGTATATGCTGAGGTTTCAGGAGGGAGCTGAGGTAAACATGTGTCCTGGCTGTCCTTTGAAATATAAACCTTGAAGGATCCAGTTAAACTAAAATGCCGTGAAATGAATGAAAAAGATAATAATATACAAAGACAAAGGAAACAGAGAGGAAAACGCAGTATTAGGATACGGAGGATAGAAAGCATATGGATTCAGCATCTAGAACAAGTTGCCAGTGAGGGAAGCCAAGATTTAAATCAATTCATGCAGCGGGACCCTGGAAATTCCCAGGAATGGGAGGCACAGGGACCACTCAACGTGGGAGTCCTGAGGGCCATGGAGGGACTGAATATGGGAAGGTTGGTTGCAAGTCTGTACAAGAAGCACATTAGAGCCTAGAAACCCTACTCTGCTCTGGATGCTGGTTCATTGCTTCTCCCTTAACCCAAGCAGAAGACGAAGTTTATTCCCTCCCTGGAGAATTGCATCGGAGGAGCTCAGAGCTTGGGGACTCCAGGTTCATTGGGCTTTGGGAAGAAGCCACATAAACAGCAAGTCTGCTCACTAAATGGTAATAACTTTCTCTAACTTACCCCACTTGCTTCTGAGAAAGCAGGCAGCCAAATTTACGTAATTAAGGCCGGACATTGGTATTTTCTTCTGGAGGAACTGACCAACTAAAGAAAAACTTATAGGCACTAAGCATTAAGTGTCCCTCAAATGGTTTAACCCAGTAATTCTGAAATGGAGGATGCCAATTGACAAATCCGGACTCTGCACACACTTTTTAGGGCTTTGTGGAGAGTTTCTAACACAAAAGGTAAGACAAAACAAGCAAAGTTAAGGAGTTCAGAGATAAAAGACACAATGCACAAAGCTAAAGAAAAACCCAGAAAAATATTATTAATTTGTTCAGACAGAGAAAATAGGATATTGTCTCCATCGAATAAGAACTGGATACAATAAAAAAAGGGACAGTTAGAAAAAGGGCTCCAGGAAATGAAAAATATCATAGCAATTAAAATTTGGAGGATAAAGTTGATAAAATTTCCCAAAAAGTATAATAAGAAGGCAAAGTGGTAGAAAATGAGATGAAAGAGGAGATTAAAGGGTCAGTAGAAGGGGTCAAGTTCCCAGATAAAGGGAGTTTTCAAAAATTGAAACTAAATTTTAAAAAGATGATATACTCAAAGGTTATAATGGAAAGTCATTGGATTTCTGAATAATATTATCATTGCATAGAAGGCAAGAAAGCCAGCCTTAAGTTCTGTATTATAAAAATGACATAAAATAATGTTGTTTTGAGAATCAAATGAGAAAAACATATGAAATGTTAATGTACCTGGAATTATATTGGTTATTATTAGTAGATGGTAAGAAACTTAAAGACAAGAACATGTCTTACTCAACTCCATAAAAGAAGCCCAGCCAACATAAAAGGCTAGGCATGTATTAGTACTCACTATGTGTTTGCTGCATCCAGTGGAAAGCATGCAATTTCAATAATGATGCAATTGATGTCCAGAGGGAATTCCCATAGAAGAGGTGAAAATGCTGTTTCCTGATTTCACAAAGTGAACTAAGAGTCCTGGGCTGGGGCTCTGTTTATTTGATGCACGCACGGTCCTTGCAGAAAAGTTCCATCATCGTCTCTTGTCAAAAAAAGTAGTGGGTGTTGGATTGGAAACCCCGTATTTGTGGAGCTTTGCATGCTGATGGTGCCGATACACACAGGTCTGCCAAGTTTTTCCTTTAGGGCTATTGGAAGGAAAGTATATGTACATTCACAAAGCAAATAGACCTCAGGAATGCAATATTTATATGAATAATTTAAAATGATCCTTTCTTCCACTCTGTACATATGTGGAATGATTAGTATTCAGTAACTTTCTGGCACTTCTAGCCAATGTAAAAAGGGAGGGAAAGCAATAAGTTATGTATATATTAGAAAGGAAGAAGCAAGTTTATTGCATATGACACAACAATGAACTCTTTTTAATGAGTTAATAAAATAGCACATTACAGATGACATGTAAAACATTAGAAATAAAATAATTTTAGTAAGCATAAGATTAATATATAAAAACCAACAGCATTGCTTATATAAGAAATACACAATTAGAAAATCTACTAAAAAATTCTAGCCCATAATAGAAAATGTTTGGGAATAAGAAATAAATGACAGTAAACAATAAAACCCAGGAGACTTTCAATTTGATAAGTCAGCTGCCCCCTTTCCTTCTAATCCAGAGAGGTCTCTTGCTGTGGCCCCCTTTTTTTGCTAACTTAATAAGCCTATTTTAAATGTTGACGGGGAGACTAAATGCACCTGAGAAGCCTCAAATTTTTAAAAATAATAAAGAATAATGATGGTGCTTGCTTTACTATAAATAAAATCAAACAACAAAGCAGTCTAGTGCTGGTAGATAACTAGATAATCTATATTCAATATGGTAGCCACTAGTCACATGAGGCTATTTACATTTAAATGAATTAAAACTAAATAAGATAACATTTCACTTAGCATGGTATTCTCAGGATCCTTCTATGTTGCTGCAAATGGCAGTATTTCATCTTTTCTTATGGCTGAGTAGTATTCCACTGTATATACTATATGGACCACATCTTCTTTATCCAATCACCTATCAAAGGACATTTCTTTTGTTTCCATGTCTTGGCCACCCTGAATATTGCTGCAATGCATATAAAGGGCATATATCTTTACAAATAACCATATAATTTCACTCATATGTCAGATATAAAGCTGAAAGCAACAAACAAGCAAACAGGACAAACAAACACAAATTCAGACACAAAGTTTGATGGTTACCAGATAAAAAGGGGGATGAGGGATGATAATGAAGAGGGAGGGTAACGGGGGTCAAACATATGGTGATGGAAGGAGACTTGACTTTTGGTGGTGAACACGTAATACAATATACAGATGATGAATTATAACATTGTATGCTTTAAACTGATCTAATTTTATTAACCAATGTCACCCCAACAGATCTAATAAAAATTTTAAAAATGAAATAAGATGACAAATTTAGTTTTAGTCACACTACATTTTAAATACTTACTAGCTACATGTGGCTACTACATTAGACAGCACGGATATAGGACATTTCCATCATCACAGAGACTACTATTGGGCAGTGCAAATCTAAAAACAGATATATGACAAGATAGTATAGGATAAAGGTGGCAATTCAAATAAATGGGTAAAAATGGGTGTTTTCACAATTTGGGGAGACAATTATTGATAGTTTTGGAAAAATATTGAAATGATATCACCACTGCACAGTATAAGTATAAATTTCAAATAGTTTAATGTTTTAACCATCAAGATTAAAAAATAAGTATTGGAAGAAGATCCAGAGAACCATTAAAAACCATTAAAAACCTCCTAAGGCATCCAGATCATTGTTTAGCCAGTGAAAGCTAAATGTCTTAGTGTTGAGTATAAATATGACTTTAGCTCACTGTAATTATAGAGTATGAGACAATTTACTTAATGGTTTAGGGCAGATTTAAATGAGCTTGAAAAGATATTCATTGCTGTTCTACTCAGACATTTAATCAGTATTGCTCTTTCCATTTTAAATAAAGGAAACAAGAGTGCAAACAAGGGCACAGAGCGGTAGGAGTCTGACCAGATCCTTCTAGGCAGCTGCTCTAGGAATTATAAGGTACTGGAGTCCTGATTGCATGGAATTTGTGCAAGAGTAGGCCTTCCTTCCCCCGGCTGGCCCAGGCTTCCCTTCGGCAGTGGCTGGCGCCCGGGACTTGGGCTTTGCTCCGGCTGCTGGCAGGCACCCGGGACCCAGCCTTCCCTCCTGCCCCGGCTTCATCCGGAAGGATGTCTAGAATGACATCTGGAAGGATGTCTGGTCTAATTAGCATATTACCCTTTTATTATTATAGATATATTTCTCTTTCTCTAAATTTTCTTTGGTATTTTGTCGACTTTGTTGCTAAGAAATCTGGCCAGTATCTTTATATCTGAAAATGAATGTAACTGGGAAAATTAGCATATTACCCTTTTATTATTATAGAAGAAGATAGATTTCTCTTTCTCTAAATTTTCTTTGGTATTTTGTTGACTTTATTGCTAAGAAATCTGGCCAGTATCTTTATATCTGAAAATGAATGTAACTGGGAAGATAAATTAAAGATTGCTTATGTGTTGGGTCATTCTCCTCTCTGGTAATCACCAGATCTTTAGCCAGTTAATAAACCACCATGGTGTAGTTCTCACAGTTATTGGGTTTACCAAGAGGCTTTCTTGTGGGCCCTGAGCTAGGTGCCATGTGAGGGAAGTCAAGAAACCTGAGACTGTCTGGGCCCTCAAGGAGCTTACAATAGACAATGAGACAAGACTAACAAATGGAGAACCGTTAACGCAATATGAAATTGTCCATATTTTTTTTCACAGCACTAAAGATAAGGCTATATAAGAGATAACAGTCTTCAGTCTATATTTGTTTGTTAGGTTCCCTGAAAACCCCCATCTTCTCACAATGCATTGCTCAGCCAGTGTGTCACTGATGCTGAGTTGGAACCTCTGAATGAGATAATACTTTGCATGCACCAAAGTTGCATTAATCTTAAGGCATTCCGAAGGATGGAAACATTGATATAGTCTGAGAAGCCTTCAATGTGGAGATGACATTGACAGATGGATGTGTCTGAATTGGTAGAATCTGAGGAACTTTACATCCTCTCTTCCAGGTCCAGGAATACAAATGCTGATATGATGCCATCCAGGTCTTTAAAACAAAGCAAAATTTTGATTGGAGCAAAACACTTCCATAATATTTCTCAACAAAACATACGGGGTGGGGCAAAAGTAGGTTTACAGTTATGAGTATGCAAAACAGTTTATTCTTGTATTATTATTTATTAATTATTATATCATTTTCTATAGAACAACTGTAAACCTGCTTTTTCCCCACCCTCTATACCAAGAAACTGCTCTGTGACAGCTGCTGAGCCCAGCAGAGGGGAAACAGAGATGGAAAGATATGATTCACACCCTGGAAAAGCTTCTCAATTAAAGGGGAGAAAGATCTGACTGAGCGTCTTTATATTTCCTGCATCTATTGAAAGATAACAATATCCTTACATTTGGTCAAAGGTCAGTCTCTAGCAGGCTGTTTTCTCCATCCAGGTGATACTGGAGCAAAGCACACGGAATATCAGCTAACCAATGATTAAAGCTAGTTAATCACTCCATGCTCATGTTACCCCCTTTGCATCTCTTTGAAAGATCTTCCTGAACTTGGGCAAATGGCAGTAAGGCTGTCTTCAGTGACTCTGGGCTTGATACCTTAGATTTAAGAATGTCCATTTTTCTTCCTTTCAAAACCTCATCTTCCTAATATCCATTAAAGAACTAGAATGTTGTATTACTTGTTTTTTCAAAAGTAATTTTTTATTTATTAGTTTTAGGAATATATCTTACAAAATGCTCAACCCAATAACTCTAGTACCCATCTGACACCATACATAGTTATTACAATATTATTGACTATATTTCCTATGCTGCACTTTACATATCCCTTTACTGAGTTTTAGTAATTAGTTCATTTTAAATGCAGTAATCATTAAGCCTGAAGAATAATGATTGGAATGTTCATTGATGCTTACATTTTTTAATGTGTTCCAGTGGAAAAAAATACTTATATTCATTTGAATGCTTAATATTTACACATTTTAAAGGGATTTACAATTGCTATCATATTTCTAAAGTTACATATGTCATATGTATATGATACGTATTTCTACACATATTTCTACAGTTATAGTGGTAAAAAGCCACCATTATAATGATTTAATTATTATTAATTATTCAACCATATGATAATTCTAATGTCATATTCACCTTCTTCCTTGCATGCTCTTTCCCAAGTCTATTTCTCCTCATTTCCTACCCTATCTCTGCTCAAGGCATTAAATACCCTCCCTCTAATCAGCAGGAAGCGGAACACTCAAGGCCTCTTTGGCTCCTCCCCTTACTCTACTTCTATGTCTGGTCATTGGTCCAATCATATCTTGCCATCTTACTTCCCCCAAATCTGATCTCTTCTATTACCTTAGTAACAAAATTCATTTTTTAATTGATTATATGGCTGGTGGAAAATAAAATGCTACCTGTTCTAGTATTTCCTCATAGCCAGGTGTGTTTCTGGGTCTTAGTTTTGACAATTGAGATGTACGTGGAAGTGCAATGCAACCACTTTTAGGAAGTTACTTTAAAGACAACATGCATGTCATTTGCCACATTCCGTTCTGTCCCTTCCTAGGTGCTCCTTGGCTGGAGCTCAGGCAGCCATTTGGAAACATGAGGCAACATATTAAAGATAGTGAAGCAGCAAGACAGTAGAGAGGTGACTTGCCAATGTGGAGCTGCCCTCTCACCTCCCAGCCACAGACTACTTAACTCTTTCTTTCACATGAGAGAAAAAGAAATTTCTGTCTTTAAACAAACAAACAAACAAACAAACAAACAACACAGGGTTTTGGGTTCTCTCTTACAAAAAAGAAATTTCTGTCTTTAAACAAACAAACAAACAACACAGGGTTTGGGGTTCTCTCTTACGTGAGTTAAATATAATTCTGATTAAAACACTTTCTTATCCTTCTGACCCATTCTTGCCATTCTCACTATTGTTATCAATCTCACAAGAGAGCAGAAAACAATAAAATGTAGGCACTATAGTGAACGTCTTAGCAGCACTGACTTTGAAATAATTCTTGTTTTATTCTTTGCTCTATATCTAGCTTTACC